CATTCTTGAAATCAAGTGGCAAACACTGGTTAACATCTAAACTGTAATCTGGAATTACAATTTTATCCCCTTTTTCCAAAAATATACACACTTGCACAACAAAAAAACAAAATATTTTGTAGATATGATGTTTTGTATAAAAGGTAAAAGTTTTCATATCCCAACAGGTCAGAGAACATATAGAACAATATAGTACAGCACAGGAACAGGCCTTTTGGCCCATGTCTGTGCAACAATGATGCCATTCTAATTTAATCTCATCTGCCTGCATATGGTCTGTATCCTTCCAATTCCTGCCTGTTCATGTCAAATGCCTCTTAAACTTGGCTAATGTATTTGCTTCTACCACCTCTCTAGGCACTCTCTGCGTAAAACAGAAACTTTCCTCGCACATCTTTTAAACTTTTCCCATGACCTTAATCCTATGGCCTCTATATTTGACATTTCCAACTTATGGAAAAGAGTCTGACTATCACCCTATCCATGCCTTTGATAATTTTGTGCACTTCTATCAGATGGCCCGTCAGCCTCCGACACTCTAGCAATAATAACCCAAGTTTGAACAAAGAAAAGCAAAAAACAGCACAGCACAGGAACAGTCCTTCGGCCCACCAAGTCTTTGCCGACACATGATGTCTTTCTAAACCAAAAACCTCTTACCTCTACACAGTCCATATCCCTGTATTCCCTGCCTATTAATGTATCTGTCAAGATGCCACTTAAATGTTGCTATTCTGACAGTGCATTTGAGGCACTTAGCACCCTCTGTGGAAAAAGACCTGTCTCTCACATCTCCTTTAAAGTTTCCACCTTAAACGTAAACCGATGTCCCCTGTGATGTAGAGGGGCCGGTTTTCAGCTGGGCTGGACAAGGTCAGACGTCACACAACACCGGGTCATAGTCCGGCAGGTTTATTTGAAATCAAGCTTTCGGAGTGCTGCTCCTTCATTAGGTGAAATGTCACTTTAACTGACGAAGAAGCAGTGCTCCGAAAGTTAGTGGCAAGTGTCTCCCTGTGAATGCAACAGTGCATCCACATTACACTTGGGGTTAGTAAGAACTGCCAATGCTAGAGTCAGAGATAACACAGTGTAGTGCTGGAGGAATGCAGCAGGCCAGGCAGCATCAGAGGAGCAGGAAAACTGATGTTTCGGGTCAGAAGGGCCCCGACCCGAAATGTCAGCTTTCCTGCTCCTCTGATGCTGCCTGGCCTGCTGCATTCCTCCAGCACTACACTGTGTTATCTCTGACTCTAGCATTGGCAGTTCTTACTATCTCTCTATGATGCTTCAAGGACTTATGTTGTCATCTTTCAAAGTAGAGCATAAAACTTTCTTGCTAGCCAAAATGTGATGGGCTTTGAACGTGTGAAAGGGGGACGAAGAACAAAGGGGAAGGTCTAAGATGGAGTGATGGAAAGATGAGATTAAATGACAAAAGGTTTCATGATGCAAGGACAAAGATAAAGGTAATAGGACAAGTTAAAAAACAAAAGATGTGTCTTTTGGACATATAAATGCAAGGATCTCAATAGCTGTAGTTCAAAAGCAAAGAAATTGTTGAACGTAGTGTTGAGTCCAGAAGACTGAGGGACTAATTCGCAACATGAGGTACTGTTCCATGCCCTTGTATTGATTTTCATTGAATACAGCAGCTGACCAAGGGCAGAAAGGTATGAGTTGGGAACAAAGCAGAGAAATAACATCATAAGGTGAGTCAAAGCTCAGTCTTGATTAAGTAGAGTTGTTCTGTAAAACATTTATCCAGTGCATTTGATCTCACCTCTCGTGTTAAGGAGACAATATTGAATATTGTATATAAAATTGAAAGTGGTGCAAATAAATCGCTGTTCACCTGGTGGGACTGCTTGGAACCTTGGTCAGTGAAAAGGGATAATACAAAATGACAGATTTTGCATTTTCTGCATTGCATAGAAATCATTTGTAGGAAAGGGAAGGGGTAACTGGGAAATGGATCAGGCTATCCTGGAGATTCTGAAAGGTGACCAATTCTGAAGGGAAGAAACATTAGTGACACTGCGCTGGAGCTGATGGAGGCAGGGAGAGATGAAACTGTAAAGGGTGTGGTCAGGTGGCAACAAGGGGTTTGGGTGAATGATGCAGAGGGGCTGTTTGAGGGACTGGAAAAGCATGGAGGATCCTTCAAAACCTTGTGCAAACATGTTGTGTAAGAATGAAGGCTGACTGGATCTACCAGGTCATGAGAAGGCTCAGTCATATGCAGTCATGCTTGTTGTTTGGAATAGTAGGAAATGGAAATTAAGGGTTTGTTTGTTGGGGAATAGGAGGAGAAAACGGAATGCAGAATAGACAATCAGAGTGCCAAAGGCAAGGGGGTCAAGGAAGGCAGGGCCTGCTGGGTTCGTTTAGATACGGGGAGCTACTGAACACAAAAACGTAGCTCTCGGAATTCCATGGTATCACCTAGCCAGATTCCTGAACAGGAAGAGATTTCAGTCCCTCAGTGACCAGCTCAATTGTTATTACAGGCAGCAATTTCTGCAGGTGTGCACCCACTATCCAATGAACTTTTTTTATTAAGCATAATTCCCTGGTTCCTTTAGTGTTCGCTGTTTCCCTCCTTATCCCCATCATCTCTAGGACTGGCTTGTGGATGACAATGGGGACCCCAGTGTCAACCCTCAGACTAATACCATAGAACATAGAACAGTACAGAATGCTACAATGATGCCCATCTATCCATGAGGGACCTCACTAAACAGACAATTTGTCATTCAAAGATACACATTTTGTTGCATTCCCTTCTCTCCCAGGCAGCCTTCGGAACTTCTTGGGAGGCATCATAATAGCATGATGCCTCCTTTTTTCCTTGGTGTCAAATAATTCCAGGGGTGCATGGGGATGATGGGCAGAGGTTGAATGATGCCTCTGGATTGCAGAGGATGAAGTACATTTTGGAAACCTTTTTAAATATGGGCCCTTGAATTTGGAGTCTTCAATGTCCAGATAGGGCAGACACTTCCTGCTCACCTGCCCTTAAAATTTGGCGATTTTCCCTTGCATATATGTAATAAGCTGAGAAAAACATAGCTACATGGAAAAAAAACCTGACCCCCTCCCAAAGGAAAGTATCTTCTGCTTTTGAGCCTTGCCTCCACACTTAGTTTTAAAAAATTCAAGATTCTACTCCAAGTTTTATTCATGGGGACAGGAAGAAAAACGAATGTGAAATTCTAGCAGATAATCTAGTATTAATCTTCAAAACTGATGGGTCTTCAAAGAAAGAGAAATTATGTTCTTTTTGTAAGATTATCTATGTTAACATCATTAACCAGTTCCATTGCCAATCTAGAATTCTTGCACACTAGTAAGTTTGGGATTATTTTGTAATACATTTTAAAGTTAACAAATTTGACTCTTCAATTCAACTGTTGGCAAAATGTTATTTTTCATGAAATGGACCTCAATCTACATGCATTGCTTCTGTTTTTTGTTTTCATTTTAAGCATGGAACTTGTAAATGTTCATGTTCAGAGAGACTCGGGTATATAAATAGATGGATTTTGTTCTCTCACAGAATCAAGGGAAATGGGGGCCAGGTGGAAAGTGGAGTTGAAACCCAAAGTTGAGCATAATTATATTGAATGACAGGATTTTTAGTCTTCTGCTCCAATTTCTTATGTTCATGGGCAGAAAAATAATCAATACATATTTCTATCCATATATCAGTAAGTGGAAATTCTATCAAAACTTTCAAGACAACTTGGAAAGAGGACAAATAAATTGTCAATTAGTGTTAGATGATGACAAAATAAGAACAGAAAATGCTGGAAAAACTCAGCAGGTCAAACAACATCTGTGTAGAGAAATAAGGTTGTGTTTCAGATTGATACCTTTATTAAAAACTGACGGAAGGTGCTCTGATGACTCGAAATGTTAACATCTGTGGAAAGAAACAGATTTATCTAATGTAGAGTTTTCCAGTATCTTTTATTCTTATTTCAAGTTTCCAGCATGTATAGTATTTTGCTTCTACATGTTCACATTCCTGTTTCAAAATGTAGTTTAAATTATCTGATGCACTCTGTCAGTTTCAAATCTTCCGACATCCAATAACTTCAACTCATCCAAAACTTTGCTGACCATATCATAACCTACACCATGTCCTATTCAGCCTTGATGTGCTTGCAGACCCGTATTGATTCACAGTCCCTCCATTTGAAACATTCATCCCCATGTTCAAAACACTTCAGTGTCCCAATCTCTCAACCTTTATTATCATTTTCAGTCCCACACCCCTTTTAAGAGTTTTGCGTGCCTCTAATTCTGACCTATTGTGTATTCCAAAACTTCTTTTGATCATTAAGGGCCATTCCTCATGTAATCTGGATTTAGGTTTTGAAAATCCCTCCCTAAAACTGACTCATTGCTTCCTTTTCCTTTTATTTACAAACCTACCTGTAAACACACCTCCTTGATTAAGCTTTTTGCATTTCCCAATGTATCTGTTTGTCTCGGTGTCAATTTTCATCTCATTCCTCTGTGAAACATCATGGAAATATTTTTCTACACAGAAGGTGCTATTTAAATGCAAATTGTTACACTTGGCACGGGTTGTTACAGTTGGCACAGCAGAAGAATTATGTTTGCTGTGTTTCTATTAATTTAGTTGAATAAAAGACCATAAGACTGAGTGAGCTGCATGCTGTACGGCTATGTAAAATATATATATCATAAATGATCTCTTGAGCTCTTACATTGGCCTTGTCATTCGCAGCTAAATTTGGGGATTATGTTCACCCACGGTGGTATCAGGTTCTCCTGATCACATGCACACACACTGTATCTAATACTGGAGTCTTACAGAACATCGGTGCTCTACTGTGTACTTCACAGTTTCCACAACACAGCCTGACGTGGCAAAATAGTCTCTGAAAAGCTTAAATTGGTTGTCACGTTTTGCTGGAAAGAGTAGTTTGTGGGATTTTGTTTAATCAACATGTTTCTGGTTCTCCTAGCTACCAGGGAACTGAAGGACTTCTTTGCAAAGGCCCGCAATGGATCTATTCGCATTATGAAGGTTATAATCAAAGATGGTGAGTTTCGCCTGTTTTATGCATTTACTATACTATATTCACCTCTAATTAAAAATGAGAATGTGTGCGCTCTTTTTGGAAAGGAACACAGATAGTTTGGGATATTGTATGTGAAGTACAGCAAAAACTTGGACTTGCGTTGAAGTTTTAAAATGGTGCTGTATAGACCTTCTTGTCATATTTATTACAACATTAATATACTTTTGACTGCGTTTTATTTAAGAGCAACATTTAAGTTTTTTTTTTAGAAAAGGGTGCCTCTTGTTAATTACTTATTAGATGTGTGTATTCCACTCATAAAAACTCTCAGGTTATGGATAGTTTTTCACGGCCTTCCTGACTGGCTGGCTGATGGCACAGTATCTGTGAGTTTTCCCTCTCAAAATGCATTAAGCCTATTGGAAAATAAAATCTGTTTGGATTCCTTTGTGTGAAATTAGCCTGTGATGTTTCATCCCTGATTAGGTGAAATAATGAAAATCGTAAAATATGACAGTTTGAAAGGGAGGACCTGTGTTCATACAGATGTTTGGAATTAAAGTCATCTATCTCTCTGATCCTGTGTTTTGCGTTAAATATGTTTGAGCACCATCACTCACACCCACTGTAAGTTGCAACACCCTTGATAAAAATGCCATAATTAGGCTACGAATAGGAACATATGGTCAGTCTTATTTCAGACAACTGATGTGGGAAGTAGAATCTTATGTAGCTGCAAGAGGGAATGCTGGTCTGATAGTAAAGACATATTGTTGGATATGGTGCAAAATGAATAGTATATCCAAAACTTTTCCAAAGCATGCTAAACTTGATCTGACACCCACAGCTTGATGAATACAAAAAGTATTATTTATTTTTCACTGTTACATCAGATTTCTTAAAAGGTCTTAATTTTTAAATATTGTGATGCTTCCATATGGCATTCCATTCTCTAGTTTTTGATGGGTTTGGTGACATTTGATAACAATAGGAGTTACAGTGACTGAAAATTCGGTTCGTAGATGTGAATGCATTCTTTAACTGATACGCTAGATTAATATCCAGCATTTTGGCATCCCTTGTTAGGACGATCTATCATGAAATATCATGTATATGAAGGTCAATTTTTGTTTGTTAACATTTTGCAGGGGAAATATCATACTGTCTTTCCTTTAAAAAGATGTACCAAATGGTGTAACATGTTTACTGATGTATTGTCCAGGGAGAGTTAGGATCTGGATTTGCAATTCCCCAAACACTCACTCATGTGCATCATCGGTTCAAGCAACTTGCTATTAACCACCACCCCAACCTCTTTTAAAAGTGGGGGAATGTTAAGGTATAACTCATTGTGATTCCCATCTCCTGATTACTAGAGTGGCATTGACATATCTGTCTACCAGTTCACCAGTCTGTTATCACTTCCAGGACTGGAAAATGCCAAGAGAAGTCCAAAATAGGTGAGATGAGGTAGGATGAAATCAAGGTCCAATATGCCTTATTCTATAATCAATAACCTGGACAGTTGTTGCACGGCTAAATTTCACAAGATATTTTCCTGTTAATGTCAGCAGTACGCTGGAAAATATAGATTAAGAGCATTTTGTGCTTTGCTGAGAATTTGTTTTTGCATGGTGAAATAGCTTTATGAAGCAACTCAAAGTCAGGAGGGTGGGTTGGGTTACTAAACATGTTGTGATGTCAGTTGACTTGAGCGACATGATGGGACTTATCATTTTCTCTAAAAGTGACGACAGCTGCAGGCTATGCTTAAAATAGTGCATGCAGCTGATGGGTTTGGCTGGATTGGACTCAGAGCAACATCATGAGTTTCTGCAAAGAATGAAAACATGCTACTGATATAAAAGAAAATATTACACAATGCACGTGAAAGCTGTAGATAAAATAGCAGTTACAGATTACCATGTACATAGATGATGTACATTTGGATACAGTTGTCTAACTTTATATAGAATTTGCTTCTTTCCAGTGATGTTTCCAGGAGGAGAGCATCTTGTGCATTCAATTGTAATATTTGCATTTAGAATTTCATTTTGCCAAACTTACAGAAGCTGCTATTAATTCTCCAATTACCCATCAGCTAAGAAAAAATGTCATTTTGGCATGTCCTTACCATCTGTAGTCTTGTTACCTGTCTTAAAACATCGGGTCTCAGCTATTGAAGACTTGGATGAATTTGCAAGATTTAATGAGTGGCGTGCTACAGGAACCAGTGCTGGAAATTCAGTTGTTTACAGTTTATATAAATGATTTGGATGAAGGTTGCAAGATAAGGTTGCTAAATTTGCTGATGACACAAAGATAGATAGTAAAGTAAGTTATTACAAGATCATAAAGAGGCTTCAACAATATTGATATTTTAAGCGACTGAGCAAGGATGTGGCAAATGGAGTACAATGTGAGAGAATGTGAAATTGTCCATTTTGGCAGGGAGAATAAAAAGAAGCATATTATCTACAGCAGACCTTTGAGGCCACAGGGAACTGGGTGTCCTAGTGCTTGAATCGCAGAAAGCTAATATGCAGATACAGCCATTAATTAGGAAACTAGCAGAATACTAATATTATTGCGATGAGAATTGAATACAACTGTAGAGATGTTATGCTTCAGTTATACAGCACATTGGTGAGACCCTATCTGGAGTGATGTATTCAGCATTGGTCACCTTCTTTAAAAAAAGGGTATAAATATGTCGTAAGCCATTCAAATAAGGTTTAATCAGACCAATATCAGAAACGTGTAGGTACTCTTAACGAGTAAAAGTTGAACAGGATAGGCTTCAGGGGACTGCTTTGTGGAACACCTACGCTCTGTTTGCAACAAACAACTGCACCTCCCAGTTGCGAACCATTTCAATTCCCCCTCCCACTCCTTAGACAACATGTCCATCCTGGGCCTCCTGCAGTGCCACAACGATGCCACCCGAAGGTTGCAGGAACAGCACCTCATTTCGCTTGGGAACCCTGCAGCCCAATGGTATCAATGTGGACTTCACAAGCTTCAAAATCTCCCCTCCCCCGACCGCATCCCAAAACCAGCCCAGCTTGTCCCCGCCTCCCTAACCTGTCCTTCCTCCCACCTCAAGCCCCACCCCCATCTCCTACCTACCAACCTTATCCTGCCCCCTTGACCTGTCCATCCTCCCTGGACTGACCTATCCCCCCCTTAACTCCCCACCTACACTCACCATTACTGGCTCCACCCCCGCCTCTTTGAGCTGTCTGTCTTCATCTACTTCACTAACGATGACTGTATCGGTACCGCTTCGTGCTCCCACGAGGAGCTCAAACAGTTCATCCACTTCACTAACACCTTCCACCCCAACCTTAAGTTCACCTGGACCATCTCTGATACCTCTCTCTCCTTCCTGGACCTCTCTGTCTCCATCTCTGGTATCCACCTGGAAACCGATATTCATTTCAAGCCTACCGACTCCCACAGCTACCTAGAATACACCTCCTCTCACCCACCTTCCTGCAAAAAGGCCATCCCCTATTCCCAATTCCTTCGCCTCCGCCGCATCTGCTCCCGAGATGAGGCATTCCACTCCCAGACATCCCAGATGTCCTCGTTTTTCAAGGATCGCAACTTCCCCTCCACATTGGTCAAAAATACCCTCGACCGTGTCTCTCGCATTTCCTGCAACTCATCCCTCACACCCCCTACCCGCAATAACAACCAAAACAGAATCCCCCTCATCCTCACGTACCACCCCACCAACCTCTGAATCCAACGCATCATCCTCCGACACTTCCGCCATCTGCAATCTGACCCCACTACCAAAGACATTTTTCCCTCCCCACCCTTATCTGCTTTCCGGAGGGACCACTCTATCCGTGACTCCCTTGTCCGCTCCATACTCCCCTCCAGCCCCACCACCCCCGGCACTTTTCCCTGCAACCGGAGCAAGTGCTACACCTGCCCTTACACCTCCCCCCTCACCGCCATCCCAGGCCCTAAGAAAACCTTCCACATCAAACAGATGTTCACCTGCACATCTGCTAATGTGGTATACTGTATCCGCTGTTCCCATTGTGGCCTCCTCTACATCGGGGAAACCAAGCGGAGACTCGGGGACCGCTTTGCAGAACACTTACGCTCGGTTCGCAACAAACAACTGCACCTCCCAGTCGCGAACCATTTCAACTCCCCCTCCCATTCCTCAGACGACATGTCCATCCTAGGCCTCCTGCAGTGCCACAATGATGCCACCCGAAGGTTGCAGGAACAGCACCTCATATTTCGCTTGGGAACCCTGCAGCCCAATGGTATCAATGTGGACTTCACAAGCTTCAAAATCTCCCCTCCCCCGACCGCATCCCAAAACCAGTCCAGCTCGTCCCCACCTCCCTAACCATTCCTCCCACCTCAAGCCCCACCCCCATCTCCTACCCACTAACCTCATCCCGCCTCCTTGACCTGTCCATCCTCCCTGGACCGACCTATCCCCTTCCTAACTCCCCACCTACATTCACCTTTACTGGCTCCAACCCCACCTCTTTGACCTGTCTGTCTCCTCTCCACCTATCTTCTCCTTTATCCATCTTCTATCCGTCTCCCCCTCTGTCCCTATTTATTTCAGAATCCCCTTCCCCTCCCCCATTTCTGAAGAAGGGTCTCAACCCGAAACGTCAGCTTTCCTGCTCCTCTGATGCTGCTTGGCCTGCTGTGTTCATCCAGCTCTACACCATGTTATATTATTTTTATCTCAGGTTAGTATGGGTTTATCCCATTTCAATGGCTGTAGCAGTCTAATTTGATCTCATCGTGTAGTGACAATCAAACACTTGCGCCTCAGTCCTCCCTAATTATTCCTCATTTGATTAAAAACCTGGTTAAACATTTTATTTACAATTTTTTTTATCATTTATGTATTTTGTTCAATCTTCCTGTGTTGATCTTTGGGGTGGATAATTTTGATACTCGTTTAGTTATGATATTTGTAATAAGTTGTTACAGATCAAAGGTCACCTGCAAGGTGAGGGAAGCATGGTTCATTC